CATTTGGCCTCAATTCTGAACATTCTCATTCTTAGAATCCTTTTAGAAAAGGATGGATTCTAAGAATTTTCATTCGGAGAATTGGTAGGTATGTTTGGCACTATCATCTGATTTCTGTTTATCAGAAGCAAAATCGCGTTTGGCATCATCCCATTTCTTGGAATCAATTCTCTAGCTGGCCAATATAAAAAAAGTTGTTAAATAAAGGACAATGTGAATACAATGTAGGATATAGGGGTGATGTGCCGATGTGGACTGAATGATTTAACACCTGGCCAATCTAGTTGATCCACCATTTGATGGTTTGTTCAGATCTGTCACATATTTCATCCTTGTAACAGAAAATGAGGGATGCTATGTAGGGAAAAACTCTAGTTGACATGGTTAAAAAACCTTTTTCCTAAATGATTTAAATCCTTTTCCCACATACACATGCATGAAGAAAACAATGTAAGATAAAAGTTTACAATAGAGTAAATAAACTGATCTTGGTTTAACATTAGTCGCAGAAGCCGTCCTGTACAGAGCAAGAAAAACATAATTTTGATCATTAAAAAAAGCTCAGCATTAATTCATGAAATTCTTTATGTAAATGCTGATGACTTTATACATGCGTCAGGTTGGTGATGATGCTATCTGAAATTGGATTCCAACAGTTTCAAGAAGCATCATTCAAGTATAGGCATAACAATTGAACTCCTGCTTTCAATAATCCATCACAGTTATGATTTTGAAACTTCCCACTTAATTTACTGAACTGATTAAATGCAGAAGTTACTAACTTCAAAGAAAACAAAACAATCGGAAATGGAAATTTTAGAAGAAAACAAAATACCTCCAAAAAGAAACTTGGGGTTCTTCTCTTCCCCCCATCATGGAAAGTCTCTGGGTGCTGCTTGTCCTCCAAAGCCATTGTTGGTGAAAAATCAGCTAAAGAGACTGACGAATTTCCAACAGCAGCATCAGCAGAAGACCACAACCAAAATCCTAGACCCCAGCCCACAATGATACCTGAAAGTGACCTCAAGAACAAACTGAGAACAAAGTCCCTTTGTTTATCACTGTTATTGGTTGACTTAGTAAGCAAGCTTGCTGATACAGAAGAAGAAGAAGATTAAGTAGTAGTAGCAGCTGAACCTCCTGCTTGGTTGAAAAATGGATGGAAGTTCAACCGTTGGGTTCTGGCTACTCGACAGATTCAATGTTTAGATCTCGTCAAAGATGCATGGGAATACATGGTATGATTTGCCTGAGACACACGGATGGAGCAAGCAAGAAGGAATGGAGCAAGAGTGAGAGAGAGAGGATAAAAACTAGAGTAAAAAAGAAAGCATGCAAGTGAGGACAGAAAGAGACATCGGACGAAAGGAGATTAGAAAATAGAACTAGAAAAAGATAGTTCTGGAGGACTTTGGACCGTTACAGAGACGTTGAGGAATAACCGAACCAAGGGGAAGAAGAAAGAACAAAGGGAATGGGGTAGGGTTTATCGGGTAGGTGTTAGAATAGAAACCGGAATTACATTAATGCCCAATTTTCAGGTTTGACTTTGCCACACGTGTTCACTATTTTCAATTTTAACGTGGCGAGAATTGGTATAGGCAAGAATCGCGTTTCTTAGAAGTCCCTTTTTTTTCACTCTACGGAATCGTGTTTTTGGAGGGATTTTTTCATCCCGTTTCGAATGAGAATCACCAACTAGTCTGAACCAAATGTGATTCTCATCTAGAGAATCACCTGAATCAATAGAATCGCTCTCGGGGAGTGATGCCAAACGGGGCCAGAGTTTGTCTCCTAATTCTACTTCCACTGCTTAACTTATTGATATGTTGGATTTGCATGTATACTTTAGTTAAAAGAAAGGTGACATTGGTGAATGATTAACCACTTCAATTTGAAGTCCTTATTTTTAGGTAATCAGTCCAACCTTGTTGATTTGCTTCCTTTTTCCTTGCGATATCTTTTCCTTTTTCTTATGTTGCTTTTCTTAGCTTTTATTCTCGATCACTTTCCTACTATGTCTTTTCTCTCTCTTCTGTATCTTTTCTGACCATTCTTTGCCTTATCAGTTATCAAGAATTAAGCATTGGAGCGTAGTTGTCAAGGTGATGCCTAGGTGACTCGGAGCCCTTGGAGAGTCGACTCACCTAACCATCAAGATTATTTGTACATGGTGCTATGAAATACTTTTTTATATTCTCTACTTTTTTAGATTTATAAATATAAAATAGACATCATTAAACTGAAATATTCATTTTTTAGGTTTTTATACTAGTTTCATTTTATTATTTTTCTTATTTGTTAGGATTCAATCAACACATGTTGGTGTATGCTGTCTTGAACCTTCAAATACTTCAAAACCTGAAGTTTGAACCAATAAGCAAGGAAGGTTCTTAGATTTTGTCCAAACAACACCTTCTTCGTCTTCCACCTTTTCTTTTTTTTTTTCTTTTCCAAGGACAAAAACAGGGTCTTAGCCCCTATATATATATATATAATTTTGTTTTCTTTCCTCTTTTTCGTCTCATGAATATGTTGATTCTCTATATTCTAATATGAGGTTTATTGTCGAACCTAGGGAACTGCCCTAGGATTCATGTTTTTTTTTTTTTTTTTTTTTTTTTTGAGGATACCCATTTCCTAGGTGCCTGCCTAAGTGGCTTGGCAACAAGGTCCCCCCTCACCCCCGCCGTCACACCTAGCCTCACCTTGGTGGCTTGAAAACTATGCGTTGGAATTAGATGAACTTCCCAAAAGCAAGGTTCTAGTTTCTTAGAGCTAAACCCAAATTTATGGTGTTGACTATAAGGTGATCTTTGCACCTATGGTAAGATGAACTCTATTCAGGTGATTCTTTCTCTTGTATCTTATTTTTCATGGTCATCTTGTCAAGTGGATGTTAAATATGCCTTTCTCAATGGTGATTCACAAGAGTAAGTGTATATGGAATTGCCATGAAGAGTGTGTTTTTCAAATAGTCAACAAACATTGTGCAAACTTCAGTAGTGAATTTGTGGATTAAAATAGTTGCCTTTGGCTTGGATTGATAGGTTTAGGGGAGTAGTTCAGAAGATTGGGTACACTATCTCATGCTAATCACACTTATCATTAAGAGAACCACACTTTATACCCATTTTGATTGTATACATTCATGATATTGTAGTTTGTGGTGGTAATACTTCTAAAATTGCTATATTTAGGTTTTTATGGCTTCAGATTTTGAGATTAAGGACCTTGGACCTCTCAAGTATTTTCTTAGAGTTGAGGTAGCTAGGTTAGTACTTAGTAAAGGGGATTTTATCTTTCAAATAAAGTATGTCATGGATCTACTTATGGAGATAAGAAAACTAGTAGCAAAGCCAGTGGACACTCCTATAGATCCCAACCATAATCTTAGAATGATAATCACCAATTGTTTCTTGATAGGGAGCAGTATTAGAGGTTGGTGGATAGGCTGCTATTGTCTCTGCTTGACTCGGATAAATATTTTTTATGTTGTTAATGTGGTCAGACAATATATGCATCAGCCAAGATATTCTTAATTGAAAATAGTGGGATGAATCTTATGTTACGTGAATATTGATCCTAGAAAAGGACTTCTTAAGGTAGAAGCATATACCATTGCCAACTAGGATGGATCTATAGATGACAGACATTCTACTTCCAATTACTGTATTTCTGGAGGAAATATTGTGTCATGGACTAGTAAGAAGCAGTCTATAGTAACTCAATGTAGTGCTGAAGCTAAATTCAAGGTTATGGCCATGGTGTTTCTGAACTGCTATGGCTGAAAAGCTTGTTGATAAAGATAGGCATTATTGTTTAATAGGCTCCCAAATATATATTGTGACAACCAAGTTGCCATTAACATAGCTCATGATCCAGTTCAAAATTTCCAAGCAAAACACATAGAAGTAGACAAACATTTTATTAGAGAGTGTTTGTCAGCGGAGATGTGTGCGTACCCTTTGTGTGATCTGAATACCAACTATTCGACACTCGACTATAGGTGTCCCTGTACCCAACTTAGAACACAACCTAAGTGAGCTGGGCATGTATGATATCTTTGCTCAACTTGAGGAGTATTGGGAGTTTAGATATATCTTAGAGTAATTTGAGTTTATTTCAAATTTATGTAATTACATGGGAGTGTCAGGAGTATTTATGTGATTGTAACACATCATTATATAAGCTCACAGAAAAGTAAAATTGATGTACCCATGTTGCACTAGTTCCTTTCATTTGCTTTCAAGTTATTCTTCTCTTTTCCTTTAAAGCCTTTCTACATGAGAACCCAGTCTATGACAAGGTTTAAAATGTCGATGTGGGTGAAAATATGGTCATCCAAATATAGGAAACATGTTGAAAATGTGAGAAACATTATATTGTGAAATATGCAAAAATATGTAATGTTATTTTATGTGGTGATAAAAGATGCATAAGTAGACCCTTTTAAATTATTATCTTGTTCCAAATCACTAAACAATGTTAAGAAGCTAAGGGCAATACATAAAATAATAGGGTGTGATGTTGTCCTTTTAAATGGTAGAGTAAGTTTGATTAAAACTTATTCTCATGGAAAGTGCAAATGGCTCTAATAGATCAAGCAAATAATTTATTATACAATAAGAAGTAAGACTGAACTTCATATTTGAAAATTATTTCGAGCCGGTGCAAAGTGGTAATATTGTCCATTAGGCATGCTATAACATTGCTATTCCACATATCTGAAACATTGTCGCCAACTTATGTTATAATGCTTCCGCTTGTACTCCACATAGTGCTGGTAGTTTTCATTGGGGAATATCCTGATTCTAGTATTATTTCATGTAAGTAGCCATGCAAATTCTGTGTAATGGATTAAATGTTTTCTTAAAAACAACTAATTTCTTTTCTTCCAAATTACCCTATATGGTAAGAAAATTGTGTAATTCGACATTGAATTGCTGTTTTCAAACTTACCACAGAATGTGATGTTAAATCCTTTAATACGTTGACAGGAAGGGATGGTTGCTTCACCAATCAACCAATGGGAAAATGAAACCAAATGTATAAAAGATGCTGCTGCAAATGGTATCTGGAACACTGGATCATCAAGTCAAAATGAAACACCCATAGGAGAACATCCTCCTCCTGTCCCTTCAACACTGAATTTTCATAATTCTGACAAAGTACAAGTTATAATGGCATCAAAGGGGGATGAACTGTTACAAACTGCTCTGAAAGTACTTAAGAAGAAACGTGAGGATCTGGTATGTATTTTTCTGGCTATATAAACTTGAAAAGGAACCTTTAGTTGATACACTTGTGGTCATTGCATTCTATAATTGCAATACAGGAGAAGATGCTCATCTAATGGTCCAAGATATACCAATTATTTAATCAGAACATTCCACTCTTTTGACAATAATAGAAATTCTAAATAAGATCACTGCATTTTTATTTACTCACTTCTGGAATTAAAGATCTTCTAAATGAGATACATCTAATGGATGATCAGTAATTCCTTTTGCATTATTTTCTGTTTTGATATCAAACCATATGTAGATCCTTCTTCGTTTGGATGTCTAAAATTTAACCTTTGGTAATTTGTCTCTTTTATGATATCAGTTTGTTTGTTTGTTTTGTAGTCTCATCAGCTGCGTATCCTAGAAGAAGAGATAGCTCGATGTGAGAGAAATATTCAAACAATCTCAACAAGTATGTTTCATTTCCTTGATAATATATCCTTGTCTCTGTATTCGTTTTTTGTCTTTTTTTAATTTTAATGTCATTTCCAATGACACGAGTCATCGCTATTTGGTGAATCCATTTTAGTGGTATACCAGAAAAATATTGTTTTTCACTTGAACCTATTTACTTTTGATTTTCCAGTTCCTTTGGATTTCCACTGTTTAAAATAATTTCTACTCAATGGTCTAAACTTTTCTTTCCAATAATGCAATGCTGCAAACAATATAAATCTAACTAGCACATCAATTAAGCATTCTTCTTGGCAGTATCATGATAAGAAATTCAGATCAATATTTCTTGGATACTGCGCTGATCAAATAAAAATTCTTGGACACTGCTAGAGTATACTTTCCATTCTGAAATATTATTCTCTTAACTCCACGCCATTACCTGAGTTAATTTTTGAATATAAATGTAGGATGGTATAATATTTTTCTTTTGTATAAGAAGGTAAATTAATATTAGAAATTTCATTAAATCTGGTGGAATACAAATATTGATGAAAATGATTGGTGACAAAAGAAAAACTTGAAGTAAAAGATTGGTCACAGCATATTATGATTAGATACTCGTGCATAAATCTATGGCCATGGCTCTTGAGAAATAAGATTTGTATACTGTAACCAGTTATATGTGCCTGTATTAGTATCTGACATTGCGTATCTCAGAAGTAAAACAGTTGGAGAAATCCATTTTCATTTTGTAGCTAGTGGATGATGTAATGAATTATGGCAATCATTGTTGTTGTTGCCTGTTGAGTATTTTGATGTACTATCTACTATGGTCTTCTCACTTATATTGTGTACTGAAGGGATTCATTGTAATTTGCACTCTATTAGTATATTGATCATTGAAGTAGGAATCTGATCAGTTTTCAAATCACATCCTTTTCATTGCACACAACTCTTTTCTCTTCTTTTTTTTTTCTTCCCTCTTTGAATCCCCCTAACCAGCAATGAATCACCCAAGTTGATATCAGAGAACTGCTGTGATCATCTGCTGATTGTCAGGAAGATGATTGACTGCTTACATCATCTCTAGCAACGCTCATGTCAGAAGGTCATGTAGTCAGTCTTGTCAGCCAATTATGAAAATCCCAGATTTTCATCAAGATCCATTTTAGAAGAATTTTGGTGCAATTCTTATGGACGTTTGATGTTGTTTTGTATTTTCTGGATTTATTTTCTATGAACAAAAATGGGAAAAATACAGAAACTTTTTTTTTTGTTGCTGTGTTTAATGAACTTATGGTCTGTCTGAATGTAGTTTTTTAAGGTTGGATCACTTGACTTTCAGTGAACTATAGAAATTTTAGTTTGCTTAAATCCATGTTTGAATCTTTCTTGGGCTGTGTGAGAGTTTGATTCGATTCTTCTATGACCTAAAATGATCTATGATCAGATCTAAAGTGGTGTGTTTGGTCTATCTAATTTTAAAAAGAGTCAATTATTTCCTTGGGAAGCATGCACTGATCTTGGGAAGTTTGAACTGTAAGAAGTGGTGTCAAACTGCCAATGTCATCTATAGATCAAAAAGGTACATTTGGAAACTATATTAGGAGTGGTGAGAGCTCTAATCTTCAGATAACAATTGTTAAACTTGATGGGAACAACTTCTTGGAATGGTAACAGTTAACCATGTTTGGGAACTTCTTGGAATGGTAACAGTTAACCATTGGCCATTGGAGGTTGGGGCAAGTTAGGTTATTGTTGAAAGTCCTGTATCTGTTTATTCTTGTTAGTGTCGAGTATGTAGGGGTATTTCTGTCTTTATACTTATGTTGAGGTTGCTGATCTGTAATATTATATTAGAACTAGTGTCCCTTTCTTAAGTAAGGGCACATGTGTCTTTCCCATTATGTTAGTAATATAAAATCATGTCTGGCCGAATGGGAGAGGTAATTTTCTCTCATTCGAACCAGACTTTTCTTCTCTCCTTTTCTCCTCTTTTCTCTCTCTTTCTTTTTTCTTTCTTTTTCTCTCTTCTTGGCTGTTATCAGACTAACAGAACTCAAGGGCAGGCCGAATCATAATATGGTATCAGAGCACAACTAAGCAACTCGGATCTGCCTAGATTTCTGTTTTCTCTGCACTCTGTCTA